ACCAACCGGGGAATTTCATTTTATTATTATTATTTATTTAGGGAGTCGACTCCCAAACCTGTTGAAGGTTTTGGGAGTTCGACTCCCATTTTTCGGGGATTCCGGGGCTTGGGAGTCGGCTCTCCATTTTTTGGGAGTTGTTTAACCAAGCCCCAAGAAAAAATAGCAACATTAGATTTCTGTTCTATACCTTTTTACTGAAACCAATCCACAAAAGTGAAGGAAAGCCATTGGGATATCACATTTGCCCTGGATGTTAAAATACATCCAATGGATTACACCATCCCCCTGGCCCGCAACTTCAGCAGCCATGTTGTAGGCTATGGTGCACTCTTCCTTCAAATCCAAAGCAATCAAACATCACTCATTTCCAACGAACTCTTGACGAATCATCTCAAGATTCTCGATTTGTCATGAACACTGCTTTAATGCCCAGAGAGAAGTTGTGTAAGCCATATGTGTCCAAAGTCAAAATTATTAAATATTTCCTTCTTGTAACACCATATCCCCCACTCCCCCTTCACACTTCCTAACATTTACTACCACATCCATGTCTTCTTGCCCTTCATCCCACAATCATCATCACCATCATCAGGGACAGTACACAGTTGACAGCAACAGCAAAATCTCAAGCTAGATCAAACTCAAGGAGATCATCAGTCAGTGATGTACTTAATAACCAACCCTAACCAACCATCAAGCCCACCACCAGAACCATACTCATTCTGCAAGGCATTCTGGAAAATTTTGAAAAGGGGCGGCCAAGCAGAGCCTTATATATGCCAATGATGTTGAGATCTGAGAGAGAAAGAGAGCTGCATACAATGACAAGTTTGGATAAATATGTGTATATATACATAATTTGATTTTGGTTAGCTTCAAAGGAGGTTGATAGAGAATGTAAGATGTAACAAATTAGTCTTAGCAAGAGTACCATGATTTTTCCAAGAGAAAAGCCAAGCCTTAAAGCAGTGGTGGGCCACTAGGCTACGCTACTCTTTTGGCCCAAAAAGCGTAGCGTAGCAGCACTTTTTTTTCATCAAAAATGTTTAGTGTTAGCGTTTTTTTAGCAGTTTTTTGCTATGCTACGCTGCGCTACAGCGCTTTTAGCGGAAAAAGTGGCCAAAAACCGCTAAAAAGCGCTGTAGCGCAGCGTAGTGGGCCCTTTTTTGCGGCCCACACGCGTAGCATTAGCGGTGTTGTGGCAGAATACCGCTACGCTACGCTTAGTGCTAACAGCAATTCCGCTGTGTTACGCTGTAGCGGCCCACCGTTGCTTAAAGTCAAAAGTATGTTGTAAAGAAGTTAATGATCTATCTTAGAAGGTGGTAGAGGGACAAGATGTAAAGCCAGAAGAAGAAAAGTATAATCAATTGTTCTAGAGATATTGTTAATCGTCTCAACCATTGATTGTCTTTTGCTACAATATATGGAATTTCCTTTAGGGATCATGAAAAAACCTGAGCATCACATCAAAAGTTGATTGCAGGGGGATCCCCATGTAAGAAATGTAGAGTATTGGAGTTGATCTCCTCTGTATACAATATAAATTGGAATCTATTGGTGGACATTTTTTTTTATAAAGTCCTTAGTAACTATATGAGTGGTGTGGTTACTTTAGCCAGCGTGACAACATCCCTCCTGACCAGCTCTTATTCTTCCTTTTGGGATCAGTAGGGATGGCCAGGTGTTTCAATGCATCGGCAAAATGTGTGCCGGTATCTTGCCAGAGTTCTTGGAGAACCATCAACTCAGAGACTTGTGATAATCAGATGATTTCATTGATTAAAGCATGGTATCCGGTTGTTTTTTTGAGCAGCCTTTCTCTGGGTGTTAGTTTCATGTTGTGATTGGTATATGGACAATTATGTGTTGAAGTCTTCCAAGATTTAACAAAGTCAACACCAAAATTGAGTAGAGAACTGTGACTGCTGCTTAAACAAAAGGTGCTTTTGATCAGATCTTCAGTTCTATGAATTGTACTTTATTTCAACTGGTAGTCGTGAGTGTTGCTTGGGAGGAGTGTTTCTCAAACAAGTGAAAAGTTCAACTCTATGGCCTTGGTCATGATTTGAACAAGTTGTTTGATGCTCTTCAAAGTTGACCAAAGTCTGGATGTAAGGATCCTGTTTGATCCTTCACCATCCGTCGGATGGAGTTCTAGAACAAAGCCAAATGCTTTGGGAGACCAATTTTCTAGAACCGCTGTGTATTGTTATTTCTAGCTCAGTAGTGAAGAATGTTAGATGGTCTCTACTGTACAATAAGAATCAAACAATTGTATGAAAAAGAAATATGAAAGAAATACTCACCTAGCTCAGTAGTGAAGAATGTTAGATGGTCTCTACTGAGCTAGGAGGGGAACGGGAACGTAGGACTTAAGTATTCTGTAGAATCGGGAACGTAGGACTTAAGTATTCTGTAGAATCTATGATTATGTAATGATGTGAACTTCTTGTGAAACCTGTCTGAGGGTGGGTTTCACACTGGATCAATTGAAGAATTGTTGGCCAGAGTGATCAATGAGGTTGAGATACCATTGACATCAATGTATAAATATGTCACTCAAATTTCATCATTGATAAAGATCAATCAAGATTTTTTTTACAAATCTAGATTTAGAAGAGTGTAGGGGTATTCAGGGAATCAAAAATGATAGTTGGGACCTAGGTGTGGATTAGGAAGATGACTTCAAATAGTTTGGTTTAGGAAAGAGAAGGCAACAGAAAAGGAGAATCATTGATGTGGACCATAAGTTGTGGAGGATAGTTGGAATAGTTTTGTTTAGGAAAAAGGAGGTGATGGAAAAGGAGAAGTATTGATGTGGACCGCAAGTTGTGGAGGATTCTTGTGAGTATAAAAAGACACAGTTGAAGGTATAGTTTTCAGAGTAGGGGCTCCAGACTTTCAATCATGGTACCTCTCACGGACCAAAATTATAGTTCAATTTTGTAGTTTTAAGAGAATTAGTTGGTTTGGATGTGTTGATGTTATTGGCTTTTTTAAACAAAAAGAATTTTTGTTAGAAAAAAGTTGCTTTTTGAGTAGGATTTGACAGTAATCTGAATCAGGGAGGCTGAGTTGTGATTGGTTATAGGCCAAGAGGATGCTTGATAGCTCAGCAAACCCAAGGCTCATCAATTTTGTGGAGCTCAGCGAGGTTGGAATGAATATAGATTGGATCAAAGCAATCAATCAAAGCAATCTGAAAGCAATGGCCTGTGTCACATCAGCCGTTCACTTGCTCAGTGAATGGCCAGTTCAGTCTCTAATGTTGACGCTGGCATTAGAAGCTGCATGCAAAATCAATACAATGCCAAATCAAGGGTCAACACTGAGATTAGAAAGCCTGGCGGTTTGTTTGGGCCTCTGAGGCTATTTTTTTAGTTATATGTGGAATATAAAAAGGAACCTCAAAGTGACATATATAATGCCCATTTGGGAACAAACCTGTAAAAAGTAACAAATGACCTATAAATGTAGCAGTCACAAATTTGGTTGGGATTGCTGATTCTTGCAATCCAATGCCCTAACAGAGTTTTGAATGAACTGAATATATACATAGAAACATGGGTTTGAATTTGAATATATACATAGGAACATGGGTGTGAATTCATGGAACCAGTGATTACTTCTGAATGATGTGGTTGACTTGTAACAGTAGAATTAGCCCCAGAAGCTGCTGCTAGAGCTCCGGCCTGATTGTGAGCTGCTTCCGTAGTCCGATTGCGACTCGATGACACTTCGAGGGCACTTACACGCTTGGGGGTTCGAGTGAAAGCGTGGTGCGCCGCAAGTATGGAAGGGATCCCCCACGTAACCACATGGCGCCTTCTTGCGCCCCTTACCAACCTCATTGGAGCATTGTTTCACGTACATAGACATGGGAGCTCCGCAGGCCTGTCTGGTCACGTGGCCTTCCTTACAGCGAATGGGTTTATCACAGCGAGGCACATCTCTGGCGGTACCCCAGACGATGTCGTTCAAGGTGTCCTTGCTGCACCGCGGACACCTTCGCAGCTCGGCGGGGTTCGAGAGTGCTGACGAAACGACAGCAACCAATGCCCATAAGACGAAACACAAGGAGAGTATCCGGCTACCGTGGGTGACTGTACGAAACACTGGGGTCGCAAGTTTGGTGTCAGAAGTCGACGATGTCCACATAGAGAGTCGAACGGGTGACGGAGAGGAGAGGGGAAAGCGGAGAGAGACTCACTGGTGAAGATGTCGGACGCTGACTGTTAGTCCACAAGGGATGGAAGTCAACCCGCAGTCAAGAGATTTCTTTCAGGGACCTTGGGAGAAAGAAACCGATCGATGGCTTGCGCACGAGGCAAATTTGTAGCTGCTGTGGTTGCTGATGCGAAAAATCATGTTGACAACTATGGCAAGCATTGTATTTTTTTGCTTTCAGTCTACAGGGTTCACCTTTTCATTTGGCGAGTCGTGATTGGTCGGCCGAAGATGATGGCTGTTGCTACCAATTTGGCACATCAAGTCACAGACACCCGGCCACAAGTATAATCTTCACAAACACTCGGCCCGGTCAAAGAACAAAGAAAAATCAGAGTCGCGCTGATTTGTATGGTCACAGACTATGACAAGCCAGGTATTGTTAGCTAATCATCCGGAGTGGTACAAAGTGTGATGTCCTGTGTGACAATTGGTGTGCACCACCCTTAAAAGACCTCTCGCATGTCGCTCGGGGGTCCTTCGAGGAAGGTATATGCCGCCCTCTTCAGGTGCTGCTGATTGTACTGTCCTTGTTCCCCGACGTTCGGCCATGCTTGGTCATGCGGCTCTGCCACCTTGACTCTAGGCGGAAAATCCAACGTTGCCTTCGGGGGACTATCTAGTACACGGAGAGTTGGCAAGCGCGCCCGTCCTCCCGGTGAGTGGGTGTTGCCTTTCGCCGTTTGAGCAGGTGAAAGCGTCGGCCGTGTACGGATGCGGACACTTTCACCCCCCACAACGGCACCAGTGGCTGCCGCTGCTCGGACCTAATCGAGCTGGATCAAACTCTGCTTTCGATACTGATCTACCGCCCCAGAGGCTTGCAAGACAAAGCCGAGGCCATGATAACCATGGCGAATAAGACCCTGAGCTCTTTCATGAGAGGGATTGCTGGATGATAGCGTTTCAGATGTTAAGCTTTGCCATCGGGTGTACTGCGACTCTATCGCAAGAAATATTGTCGGCGAAGAACCCGCTTGTCATTCTCTAATCACCATTCTTAATTTCACCGTACCCGGATCCTTTCAAAAGAAGTTAACACGCTTGCAAACCAACATTTCCTCTCATTCAATGCCCTTTCTTTCCAAACTACTGCTGATGCAGACAATCCTCAAACCCCTGCTGATTTCAGTCATCGCAGCAAACAACGGACAAGCTCTTCAAGTGTACCCTAGTAGGAAACCCTCCAGTTTGTCTCACGTCTTGCACCCCCGTGGCGAATTTGGTGAGTCCACTCTTGCTTGACACTCCTCCTCAACCTTCTAAAAAAAATTCATCTAAACGGATTGATTTGATGTCCACGAAAAATTTACAGCGGCAGGCGCAGAATATATACCATCACTAGACGCCAAACCGCTCGCACCTTACGAATGCGCGCCAAAACCATTGGTCCCACAAACCTGGAAAGACCTCCGAATTGATGAATACCTCAAATACTATCCTCGTGGACTTGAAGTCAACCTTACTGTTCGTCCCCCCCCCCCCCATTAATCTCTATCTATCATTTCACAGAGATCTATATCCCTTACTACTTTCCCACAGACATTTGCCTCCCAAAACAAAGCCCTCAACTTCGCGTGTGGTCTGAGTCAGTTCTGCTCTGCCGGTCAAGTAAGCCTCAGAAATCTTATAATCAACTCAGTTCCTCATTAGCTAATACTCCTTTTCGAATCCAGCTCTGCTCTCCTATTAGTGGTCGAGCATGGTGGGTGTTAGCTGCCGTAGAACAACTCTCATTCTACGAGAATTCGCTCTACATCGCCATTGCATTCGCTGCAAGTCAAGCAAAAGGCATGTCAATTCTCTAGGGTCTAATCTTCTTCCTTTTAGCTTATGAAAGGATTGGTTTTCATCCAGCCATTGGAGCCAAACTTGTAGATGACTTGTGAGTGCATTCCAAAAAAAGGGGGGATATCTGATCGTCTGATCATTAGATTGACTGTGTTGATAATTTCAGGTACATCCAAAACGCCAAGAAGAAATACAAGCTGTTTCAATCAATCGCGATGGTGCTTACCTTAGCCATGGGTATTGTGTCGGTCATGGCAGGCGTAGTGAGTAGTCATTCTTCCAGATCCAATGTTACCCTTCAGATCTTTACTAATTGCAATCCCACGAAGGTTTTTATGGTTACTCCAGGTCTGCAGGGGCTTGGTGTGATGGCTGCAGCCGGTGCAGTAGTCGCAATCGCACAGGTCACGATGGTCATGAAAGCACAAGCCGCAGAACTGGAAGCTGGGAAACAAGACACATTTACCAAAGTAAACAAGCGCTCTGTTTTTTTTTTTTTTGCAACGATTCAACATAAGTTGGAGTTCAAAACTGAAACCGGTACTTGAACTTCTTCATATAGTGGGCCCACTATGAAAACCAAATCGCAACCTGGCAATCGAACACTCAAAAGGAGATAGGGATCAAATTCAAAGAAATAGTCGAATATCCGATCAGTAGTCGTAGAGGGATCTTCGGAGCCTTGGAGGGGGGCCAGTTTTGTCGCAATAATCAGAAACAGGATACCAATGACATGGAAAAAAATTTGGCTCGAATTCTTACCATCAGAATGGCCGGTCAGATACTTAGGGCAAAGGTGAGTAACGAAAAAAAAAAAAAAGAAAAGAAAAAGTCAACGCTTTGTTCTTTATGGTCGCTCACGCTCGTTATGTTCAAATTTTAGAAAGGATTCATCACTATTGGCGTAAGCGCAATTATCAGTATAGCATCGATGAAGACAGCATTAATTCCTACAAATAATCTCGCTGCTCCATTTTCACAGGATGGATGCAGTCAAAATGGACCCAACGGGGCGTTTTCCATCGACGATGGATGGCTTAGCTATTGCGACAAGAGAGACGGCGTGTGAGTACAGATCTGATCTCTGTTTCTGGCCAAAAAAACACTTGTTCCATTAAAGATATTCCACAAGTTTTCATTGACCTTCATGAGCCTCATAGGATGATGAATGTGATCTACGATGACGATGGAAAATCTGGAAACCACTTCTACAATGCCAAGTTGTTGGTTGAGAAGTACCAGATCACCGCCGAGTACATCACCAAACAGGCCGTCGATTGCTCTAAACTAGGGAAAGGACCTGATTACGATCCATACTCAGATGGGTCAGTTTGAATTTTCTTCAGAAAAAATATCTTAACTTATAGCGGTCTGCAATTCTCCAGCCTAATCAACGTTTATTGATTTGATCCCTATTATCGTCGATGGCTTTCAATAGAACCAACCTGCCCCTGGATGTTAATTCTCCTTGTCTGATCAACTTGCCTGTCTGCAATACCAAGGACCGTGGTAAGAGCTGATTTCTTCTAATATACGATAACATAGCTTGTTTTTCATTTGCTGATAGCTCCATGAAACTTTGCTGCTTCCCGAAATTCACGCAGGTGTTCGTAAAAAGCTCAAGCATCACACCACCCCCAAGGCATGTCGCACCGCAGGTGGGATGTCTTTATAGCTTGACTACATAAATTGGATACAATACCTTCAAATAAGTCTCACTACTACTAAGGACATTAGTAATGTAAGAACCACAGTCCAAATTTGACGCTCTTTTTTTTCTAACAACAACAACCTCAAAAACACCGCACAACTTGCCTGATTCTTGTATAATTGAAATAAGTTTGGTTTATACCGTACATTTTGTTTTTTTTCCACCATGAATGAAGACATTTTCTATCCAAAGGAAAAGAATATTTATAGGACTTGCTGATATGACAGTTGAATTTGAAGAGCAATTTGATCTTTGTAGATACTCCAAGTTTTAATCAGCTGCTCTCAATCCACTCTATGATTGTATCATTCTTGATGATCAGAGGAAAAGGAAATCTAAAAAAAGAGCGATTTATTATGGCTGATGGGCCTCATGAATGGGAGCATTCCAAATATAGAGTGTCCTCAAATCATTTATCCAGGAAGAGCCTTCCTAGATACCCAATGCAGTTATGAGAGCTAGTGACGAAAGATATTATGAGATTTCAAGGGACAGATGGAGTGGGGTTGATGGTTTTTCAGCTTTAGAGAAACCTTGGAGAGATGAGACTAGTAGTAAATGCAGAGCTTGGGCCAAGGCATAAGATGCCATTCTTCTTTTTTTTTTTTTCTTTGAGACAGAATGGTATTAAATATATCTTGAGTTGTAACTTTGAGAGGAGTTGAAGCAAAGGATATTATGTATTGCCTGTGTCCTTTCACCAAAATGCTATTTGCCTTTGATTTTTGCTTTTGTTTCCCCTTCGGTCTCATTTTTCTGTATTCGCCTGTCCTTCATCTCCAATCAGCTGCTTCGGCCGCCAGAAATAATTACTTGGACTCGACTGAACCAGTTCATCAACAACATCACTCCAAGAAGACAGACAGACCAACAAACTTTTCATATCAATCTTGTTTATCATCAATCCCAACCAGCTGCTTCAGGGACAAGAACCAGAGAATACTACCGTACTTGTTCTTTCGGCCAATCTGAACCAAATCACTCAAGATTCGATTCTGTGATCAAAACTCTCAACTGGGATCAACTTAATACATAAATAACATCCATTTACAAACAGGTTGGTCTCATCACCCTCTCACATTCACATTGATTCATTAATCGAACTCGAAATTGGCTTGCTTATTGACTTCTTTTTTGCATTTAAATACTTATTTACGTTATCATTGATTAGCTCGACCACTATCTTTCTCTGTCCTCTCTTTGGCTAATCGCACACCGAGACTATCATACTCAGCAGCTTCTGCTCTCTCTAGTCACAATACGCTATCCGGCCACACTCAAAAACACTGACTCAGACAAGATGGGAATTGATCCATCACCACACTCCTCAATACGTCGAAAGATGAAAGGAAGCACGATTGGAGGTATCAATGGAGTCGACAGCCATGGCACCAGCAGTAACCATCGCCAGTCGTTAGCATTCGAACTAGCAGCGGCCATGGAACCAGAGGAGAACGATCAAGCGAGCATTCTCGAACAACTAGGCCTCGGCGGCGGCGACGACGACGACGACGACGACGACGATGATGATCAAAATGGTATTGATGATCAGGGAGTGGGAGAAGATCAAGATCAGATCGATAATCAAGCCGATGACCAAGACGATACGATTTATGAGGACGAAGAATATCCCGGCCCGGATCGATTCGACTCAAATGATGATCAGTCGTCCCTGCAATTTCTCGAATCCCAACGGCTCAGACTCCAGCCGAGTCGGTCGACGATCGGCTCGACCAACAAGCGTTACTCGAATGCGTCCAACTTTGGCTCCTCGAGCTCTCCACGTAAATCGTCAACTCGGGATGCCAGTCTATCAACCCCCATGAGGACCCTTGGCAGAGAGCTTTCCCGTTCAACCTTGAACACCATCGATCCCGCTTCAGCTTCAAATATGGACAGCCTCGACTTTGATCAATCTGGCCATCCAATCGATCTCCAACACCAAGATCATCCCCAGATCGAAGAGGACGACGAAGCTGGGATGTTTGGCGCCCAGAGATCCCCAGAGGATTTCGAACCATCCGAGGATGAAGATGCCGAAATCTTGGAGGCCGGATTGAAATCAACTGCCCAATTCTTGAATCTATTGAAACAGTCAAACACGGATTGTCCAGCATCATTGCTGATCCAGAAAGCGCCTGATAGTCAACAGACCACCCAGCCTTCCAGTCGATCAACAACGCCGACGAGCAAGAGACAGACGATCGAGGAGAACCAATCGGACAGACAACCGGTAGTCGAGAAGATGATCACCGACATCGTGCGGACGATGACCGAGCAAGTCCGAGACCGCGAGTCACAGATCCGGGAGCTCAAGGAGATCGAGATCGCACTTGCAAGGACCGACAGAAGGTTCCTGGCTGACCTGGAAGAATTACCCGATCTGTTCGAAGAGCGAGACTTCAGGAACTCGACGATCTTGGGCAAGTCTCTAGTCAGCTCATCGGACCACCCAGGATTGTCGATCCATGGATCGCCCAAGCCGATCGAGGACTTAGACCCGCTCGATCCGCTCGACCACGAGCATGTTGGTGGTGGAGTGGATGAAGAAGTTGAGGAGGATGAGGAGGATTTGCTGGAGGATGGACGATTGACGCCGAGGGGTACACGGGAAGAGAAGCGCATCTCAATACAACCCGACGAACATTCTTCCAAGGAAGATCGAAGAAAGGCGAAGAAGATGGCTGAGGAACGACGGCCGATGGAAAACTTGGGAGAACTGAAGCTGATCACCAACAGTCTGATCCACTCGTTAAACCAGATCCACGAACACACTCAGATCAGTAGACAAACCCAAATCGAGATCGTCCGGAAACTTAAGGGGGTCAAAGGATTGGTGGCCAATTGGAAGACGGATTTCGACTCGATCCAGAACTCGATCGACTTTATCTCCACTTGGGAATCCAATCAGTTCAGCTCCTCTTCTTCTGTTGACTCTTTACAAGAATCGCCCCTTCAAAATTATAGGGGTCAGAAGATTAGAGGGATCTTTGAGGTCCAAGTCAAATTAGTCAGTATTCAGTTTCTATATTCCCCCCACCCCCTTTTATTTAGATGGATGATGTCAATCAATTAACACTTCATTTGTGTGCTATTTTTTTTGTTCTGGGTTTCAGGCTACATCAGAAGTAGAAAAACTCTTGAATGAAGCCTTCACCAATGCATCCACTCTGCTCCAACCACACCCTCCTCCACCTTCACTAATCAACTAAAACCTTCTTCCTCCTCATCTTCTTTTTGAATCTTCACCTTTTCCTTTTGGTCATGGATGAGTATTTTGTTTATATATGACTATTCCTATCGTCACCTCTGTTTTTTTTTCTCTCTCTCTTTTGCTTTATTTCAATTGACTCCATTCTCTCTCCTCTTTCTTATCACTATCATCATGGCTATTTATCTTTTCTGATCATTAATGTTCTTTCGCGTCTACACCCTTATCATCATTCTTTATTCTATCAAGTAATCTGTCCAGTCTCTCTCCCTCTTTCTCTCATCTTCCATGTTTTTGTTAGTGATTTCTTTATATACACTTTTTCCCCCCTTGTGTTTCAGATCTTTTTTGTTGAAGGTGTGCATACAATTAGATGCTTCAGATCATTCCTTTTTCATACTCATTTTTCTTTCTTCTTTTTTTACTATCATCATCATGGGTATAGTGTTTTTTTTTCTTTTGGTTTGTTTCTCTTTTTTGCATTTTCATTGTTGTTGTGGATGTTTGATTGTTTGGTCTGTTATGATTACATAATTGGGATGGGCAATTGTTCTCCTTCCTGTCTTCTTTGACGTCTCTTCTTCCTTCCCCTTTCCTGGGTCTGTCTTTCAAAATTTAGATCAATTGAAAAACAGGCTTATAATTCTAATTTGTTCACACACAGATCCAATGGGTGTCAATGTTGATTCAGAATGAGATTCATTGTTTTGTTGTGCTTTTCCTGTCAAGGATCAGGAGCACTTCTCCTGAGTCCTATGATCCTTGAGGGAATCCTGTCATGCTCTAACATTTCACCTGGCATGCTCTAACATTTCACCTGTCATGCTCTAACATTTCATGATCTAGATCCTGTTGAGCCATCATTGAACAGGAAGTCCTGCATGTAACATTGGAGTTTCTAGTGAACCAATTATCTTTAGTTGTAGAAAATCTTGATAAAGGGTGGACAATAAATGATAGGGTCTTAGTTAAACGACTCCCAGAAATTGGAGTTCCGACTCCCAAATTTCTGGGACGTCGAGAGGACCGTCTGTGGACGCTCCTCCGGACGTCCATGGGAGTCGGACCTCCAAAACCTTCAAAGGTTTTTGGAGTCGCTCCCCTTATAAAAAAAATAAAAAATAAATAAATAAAATGAAAAAAGTAAAACCCCCCGGGGGTTTTTGGGAGTCGATCCGCCACAAACCCCAGGGGGGTTGGGAGTCGGCGCCGGGAAGATGCCCTCAACGGCCGAGAGGGATTCCTCTTGGCCGCTGAGAGTGTATGCTCCCAACGGCCGAGAGGGATCTCGAGAGGAATCCCTCTCGGCCTCTGAGAGTGTACAACTCTCGCCAGCCAAGAGGGATCTCTCGGCTGCTGAGAGTGTACACTCTCTGCGACCAAGAGGAATCCCTCTCGGCTGATGAGGGTGTACAACTCTCGCCGGCCAAGAGGGAGTACACT